GGTAGCTATTCTATTTGAAGACAAAATGAATTTCAAGCCAAGACTAACTAAGAGAGATAAAGAAAGCCACCACATACTTGTAAAGGGAACAATCCAGAGGAAGAGGTAACCATCATAAATACAGACACAACAAATACCAATGCACCCAACTGTATAAAACAAATAATAATGGAAAATCAAATAAGCATTAATACAACTGTATTGGGGGATCTCAATAACCCACTGTCACAAAAAGACAGATTAACTATACAAAAAAGTCAACAATGAAATATTAGATCTGAACCAAACTTTTGAACAAACGGACTTAGTAGATGTTCCACTCTACAACATCAGAATACACATTTTTCTCAGCTGCACATGGGATGTTCTCCAAAACAGACCACATACTAACCCATAGGACATGCTTAAGTAAATGCAAAGGAATTGAAATTATCCCATGCATATTATCAGACTATGGTGCAATGAAAGTGGAAAGCAAACAAAACCACAAGAACTTCATAAATATATTCAAATTAAATAGCACCCTCCTGAACAACTGAAGGGTCATAGATTAAATTAAAGAAGAAACTAGGCACTTTCTACAATTAGATGAAAATGACAATCTTTATAAGCCACAACAAAAGCAGTCCTAAGCTGGAAATTTATAGCAGTGAATACCTGTATCAAGAAAACAGAGCAAGCACAAATACGACTTAATAGAGAATCTCAAACTTCTAGAAAGTGAAAATGGTCAAAAACTGAAAGCTTTCATTCTAAAATCAGAAACAAGACAAAAATGTGCACTGTCACTACTCCTGTTCAATATAGCTCTGTTCTGAAAACATTCTCAAGAGCAACGGGACAAGAAAAAGAAATAAAAGGAGCAGGTAATGCTAAGAAAGGAAGAAGTTATTATTTATAGATGACATGATACTCTGCAGAGAAGATCCCAAAAACTCCATAAAAAGACTTCTAGATTTTATAACCAAATTCAGTAGCACAGCTGGATTAAAAGTCAACACTCAAAAATTAATAGTCTTTCTGTAAGCAAATAACAAACTCACTGATGGGAAATTAAGGAAATCACATCTTTCAAAGTAGCAGTAAGTATGCAATACTTAGGAATCAATCTAACAAAGGAAGCAAAAGACCTTTCATTGAAAACTAAGTACTCTGAAAAAGCAGACTGAAGATTATTAGGAAATGGAAAGCTATCCCTTGTTCTTGGGTAGCACTAAGCAATATGGGGAAGCCTTGAGTTACGAATGACTTCACATGCGAACAACTTGGGTTGACCAGAACTTCAGTTTTGACTTAAGACCAAAGTCTTGAGTTATAACCCAAAATGCTGGCCACCTGTGCAGCTATAAACAAAGATGATACGCAATGCCAGAAAATCACACGCAAGCATCTGTGAATGTCAAGCGGAGGCCAGATGCATTTGTTTGTCGATGTTAAGTTCAGTTGGTGCTTTATACAATCACTACGATTACTGCTATCCAAATGGCCCCTAAAAAGCTAGAAAATAAGCTAAGCAAGGAAGGGGAGGGAAAGAAAACAATCACAAATAGAAAAGAAGGAAACTGTAGAGAAAGGTGAGCGTGGCGTTCACGTGACCAATCTCACTAATATGTACAGCATGTCCAGGTCCACCATCTCGAAAATCTTTGAGAGAAAAGAACTATAAAAGGAAAGTAGTGTTGTGAAGGGTGTTACTCAAATTAAGTTACGATTAACAGTGTTAGACAAAGTAGAAAGGATATTAGTGTGGACAAATGAAAGGCAGATGGCAGGTTGTGGCCTATTTGAGTCTATAATCTGTGGAAAAGCCAGGGCTATAAATGCAGATCTCATAAAGGATAATCCATCAATGTGTGGTAATAGTGCAATGTTTCAAGCCAGTAAGCAGTGTTCTTGCAACCTGAAAGCAAGAACTGAGGTTCATAGGTTAACTAGGCCTGCTGAAGCAGCCAGTGCTGATGAAAGGGCTGCTGAACATTATAAACACCACTTCGAAATCCTGACACAGAGACATGGATTTTGCTCTCTTCAAGATTTCAACTGTGATGAAACTGGCCTTTTCTGGAAGAAAATGCCCAGCAGAACATACATTACCCTGGAAGAGAAGAAAATGCCAGGCCACAGCCTAAGAAGGACAGGCAAACCTGCCTGCTATGTGCCAATAAGAGCGGTGACCTCAAGACAAAGCCTCTCTTGGTTTATTATGCTAGGACGCCTACAGTGTTAAGAAAACATAGTGTCATGAATTAGAGGGCATGTGGAGATCTAATGCAAAAGGAAGAAAGAGCAAAGACAAAAGAGAAAGAATAACTGGAAACAAAGCTTTTGTGAATAAGAAGAGCAGGAGGGATTCAAGGGACGAGAGGGGACTGGGGACAAAAGAAGAATCAAGACATACCATGTACAAGTACAAATCCCCTAAAATGAATGTGATCACTGTGCATATCTAAAACATACCCATAATTTTTTTTTTAAATCCTTGGGGTCTGCCATCTTCCTTATCCTGAAGTCCTCCTGCACACCACTGCCTCATCTTTCGAGTTTTACTGTCTTTATCTTCTGAAAGTCAGCTCATCCCTTGTCCTCAGTATAACTAAAGAATCCCAGCTTAGCCCCTGATCCCAGCTCACCTGCTGACTCGCCATGGACTAGTCCCCAAAGCTAGGGTACTTGTTCCTAAGAGCTGCTTCCTCACCCACCACAGTACTCTATAAGAACCATATGGGAGGGCTGGCAAGATAGCTCAGCAGACTAAGTGCCTGCTTAGGAAAGCACAGAGACCAGGGTTTGATCCCCAGCACCACATGCCACAATGGCCCCACCCTTGGGCATGCTGAGCCAGCCACCAAGACCAGGCATGGTGGTGAACACCTGTGATCTCAGTGCTGGGGAGGCTGAACACAGGAAGATCACTATGAGTCTGCATAGTGAAGCCTGAACCAAATACATTTTAAAAAAAAGAACTATGTGGGATCAAACCCATCACTGTACTACCTAGAGAACAGGAAGCCCAGGAAAATTCTCTTATATGGCCCCCTTACCCCACTCCATTTACTAGGAGCTGTGTAGAGCCTGGAACACAGACCCGCCAGCCTAGAGCTATACACCCTTTCTCACCTTTCCAGTACTGAAAGTGTTCCCTGGGAATAGTCGGGTTCTCTAAACTTTGGTGTCCAAGTGCAGCCCATGAGCCCGCAGTGTCAGCATCTTCTGGGAACATGCTGGAGACAAGAGGCCTCACCCCAGACCTTCTGAGTCAGACTCTGCTCTTTAACAACATATCCAGGATTCACAGGCCCAGCAGAGTTTGACGGGTGCTTCGCAGGATGGGGGAAACCCACATCTTCCCATTTCAGGTCAAGGTCCTTGTATGTGCTGACCTCATGCCGAAGCTATGTTAACAGCACTGCGAGCAGAGTTGCAGTGCAGGAGGCTCCTGCGATCTGAGCCTGGTGGACTTGTCTCCTCTAAACATGAAGGCCAAAATACTAGCCTAAGGAACGGAATCACTACAGCCTAGGGAACGCCTTACATGATCTACAGAGCAATTCAGTTTTCTTTCCTGTTTGAAGTTGTTTTATTTGAGCATCGCTGAGTTGTAAACTAGGAGAAAGGCTGAATAATATATGACCTCCCCTGACATCAAAGACATTCTTTCTCATCTTTTTTTCTTAAAAGGGTAGCTGCACAGGTACACGAGTCAAGCTTCCTGGGGGCCAGACAGAGCTCTTGACAAGGGACAGTGCAGGAGCACCTTGACCTTGACCAGGAGCACCTTGACCTTGACAAGGAACACTCGTACCTCAGTTCTCTCCCCTTCAAAATGAAAATAAAAGCAGCCTATTTCATAGGCTGGTGATACTGATGGAATAATACTGGCATGCAACGAGTACTCAATAAATACATCTCCCGTGTCAGAGGAACTTCAAGCACGATGGCCCCAGAATCCTTTCCTTTTGTGATGGACCCATACACTGACGCACAGCCACCTGACAGAAGGAAATCCATATGCAGAAGGGGCAGACACTCGGCAAAGTTTTGCCTATAGAAAACTGATTTCAGACTTCCACGAAAGCACATGCTACCTTTCACTTCAAATGCTAATCCATGCAGACATGGGCTAAGTGCCCCAGACCGTAATCAGCCGTGCAAAAAGAAAAAAAGAAGTCTGTCTTTTTCACGCAACCCCGCGCCTCACGCCGTCTCCGGGGAGAGCGCGAGTCAAACACTGCCACAAAGACAGAGAGGAGAAGCCATGCTGTACTCTCTTTAAAAAAGAGACCGCGTTGTCCTTCCTTCCATGGCACCTGGCCAAAGGACACGCTGTTTTCCTTCCCCAGAGTTCACTACAACTTTTATTTTTATGAAAGCAGCAAAATATGCTGTGCTTTCCATTCCATCCTCAGAGTTTAAAAAAAAAAAAAAAAAAACACCGAAAACTAATATTGCTCTTTTTGAAAAACCAATTCCACCTCTTTTCATAATGAGGCCCAATCAAAATTTAAAAAGCAAGCATTCCACAAATCCAAATCAAGACAAAACTAATGACAATATTATCTTTGGGTGTATTTGGGTTTTTTTTTTTTCCTTCTCAGGTGACTTGAGAGAACTTAGGGTGAGTTCAAATTTTTCTAAGTATTTGTAGACTTTGGAGGAAGCTATGAAGTTTGTATATATAGTCTTTAATAAAAATTATAGTGTTTTCCAAATGTGCTTTTCAGATTAATAGTATTATTTTGTTTTTACTTGATTTATCACTCTGGGAGTGCAACTCTTTGGAGGTCCTTTTTTTTTAGCTGAGTGTAACCCAATCAATTAGAGAGTAAATATAAAATAGACCACTGTATTTGCATCACAGGAGGCTGTAGAAATCCTAACCTGTCACCTTACCTGGCAGAGGGCAGAGCTCTGGGACCAGCACTCTAATGCATCTCCATCTGCTTACTTCTTCTCCTGCAATGAATACACGTTAGCCACCATCTGATGCCCACGGTCCTTACCTGCCAGTCTGCTTCACCAGGATGGCCCTAAAGATGTGCTCAAGAGGCATCTTCTCCCGCTTGTGAGTGGGCTGCACGAACGGGTGCAAGGCGGCCAGGGAGAAGCCCTGCTGGTACAGCTCCTGCAGCTGGCCAGGTAAGTCCCGCAGGGAGGCCAGCCTCACCGCTGAGGACCGCGGGAGCTCCGCTGGGAGTGGAGAGAAGAGGAGAGAGGCCATCAGAGAGCCACCACCGCACTCAAGGCCCTCCTCCCTCGCCATGGGGAAGACTTTGTGGGCCACTTCTTGCTAAACATGAATGTATTCTTGTCTTTCCTTCCTTCAGAGACTTCCTAAGTGGCTGGCCTCTTCCAGTTCACCCAAAGGCATTGGTAACCCAGTGCCTTACGCCTATAGCCAGTCTTCTCAGTGATGATGGAAAAGTCATTTCTGCCCGCAGGAAAGGAAGGAGCCAAAGAAAAGAAAAAGATTGCACACAAATATGAAAACACCAGGTGGCAAAACCAGCACAAAGTAAAACAAACAAACAAAACAGTGGAACAAAATATCTACTACATTTTAAAAAGAAACTAATTTGCAAAGAAGCCACTGCCCTCCTTCAACCCCCCTGAAAATGAATGAAGAGGTGGATGTCTAAAAATATAAAAGGTTAATCTTTGCTCAAAAAGACATTCAACATCAAAACTACACACATCAAAACGAACAGTATTTTTTAACCTATTGAGCTTCTTTTTAAATTGGGATTTCCCATTTATTTTTGAGGCATTCAGACAAGGTTTAAAAGTCAAATGATACAAACATGCGTGCACTAAAAAGCCTCTATCTGGGCAGTACTTCCACCTTCCAATCTTTTCCCGAGAGGCAATGTTTTTTATGCTTTTCTGGGTCTATGTTGGTAATTGCTGAACTCATATACAAGTAAATAGGGTTTGTGTATCTCCTTCTCCTTTTACGCCAATGGCAATGTACCACCACACACCTGGCTTTTTATCAAGTACCAATAGCCTTTTCTGACAAAGCTTCCCATAGCCATACACAGAGCTTCTCCTTGTTCATTTTTTAACAGTTCCGCTGCATGGGATACAATTGATTATACAAACATTGGCTTCTTCTATAAGGCTTTAATGAAAAATATCATTCCTACCTGATTTTACATGTGCGTACATATAGCAAATTTAAACAATACACTCCTAAATGTGGAATTGCTCTTATCTTTGATATGGAAATAAAAGCAGCCTACTTCCTAGGCCGGTATCTCCCATCAATGAAATTTCTTTTCTTATACGTGGATCAACTCAAATTTTAAAAAAATGTGATTCCTGTGAGGTTGCAATTTATATTTCCCTTCTTCGGTGTCAGTAATTTTGCTTACTAAACATTTCATATTTAAATGCTGTGCTTCTTCTCTGTGAAATGCACATAATCTATTTTCTACTGGGTTACTGGCCCAATTGTTGTTTGTAAGAACTCTTTATGTATCAGGGATCTTAGTTCTTTTTAAAAAAATTTATGTATTTGGTACAGGGTTTCACTAAGCAGCTTGGACTCACAGTGGTCCTCCTGTTTTCAGAGGCTCCCCAGTGCTAGGATTATAGCCATGTGCCACCACGCCCAGTCTCAGTGGCCAGCTCAGCACACCCGGGAAGGGGACAGGCAGGGCGTATGGTGCTGGGGATCAAACCCCGTCCCTACACTTGCCTAAGCAGGTGCTTAGTCTTCTGAGCTGTCTCATCAGCCCTAGGAACTTAGTTCCTACTTGTGCTGCCAGTTCCAAGTTTCTTTTCCCAATTTGTTGCTTGTCTTTTGACTTTGTGTTAGGTAGATTTTTGCCATGGGGGCCAGGGAGATAGCACAGTG